CATGCCGCCAGGTCAGGGGGATTACTACCGGCCTAGATGTACGGACGCCCTACGCACACCACCACAGTCAAAAGCTTCAATCCTTCTTCGACTTAAGAAAGAAAATCCGAAGTCTTCCTCTGCTTTGCTAGCGCGATCTTCAACAAAAAAGAGTGTAATATTAGCAAACTGTCTAGGATTGTCTGCGCTTTTTAGGAGGAGCATCAGCTTACAAGTCGAATAGATTTTCCGCTTCATATAAAATATTGCGGTCACCAGAACGTGTAGAATTGGACGTGAACAAATAGACACGGCAGCATTACCGGTCAAGAACGCCAACATTACAGGCGCATTATCATGGTGCCGCAGGCACAGTATATCAAAGAGGAAATCTACTTGATGTAATTATCACGTGAAAACAGAGGTACCTAGACAAGCTTTAGGTAATTGTGAATAACTACTGAGATGCCATATGTTCTGCATAGTCCCATTTATCCTGCCACACACAATTGCCCAAACAGCTTTATAAGATAAATGCAGACGTAGCATTTGAAAATTTCTCTAGATTATTCGCAAACTCAACATGACTGCGTACACGCAAAAACCTGTACTTATGTAGTTCGACTGTTTGCGAGCAGATAATCGAAGCGATATTCGATCTGCGCGGAAGAGCTTCTATCATTTTTCGAAAAAAAGCAATAAACAAAGTGATAAGAAAATAACAGAAAAACATCTGCGGTATCAAAAATTTTATATTTAAACGGAAACTATAGAGTAAAATGGCGAAAACGGTCTTTTGTACACTACTGCAAACATACACATGTATTCCTAACAGCTGCTGTACAAATTTTAGGTACCACACTTGTTGACAATATCCCAATATCTATATTCATATTCACATTCCTCTTGACCTATAAAGCTTCTGTGTTGAGTACGTTTTGTATTCAGCATTCAACCAGCGCTTGCAATCATTTTTCAAAGTCTTTCTTGTGAACGACCGGTACAAGCAACCCAGCAACCGTTTTAACCAATAACCATTACACATGCAAAACAACAAATTACAAAACTGAAGGATTATAAACAGTAATCAAATATTTTCTGGATATGCCAGATGAATAATTACAGCCTGTATCTGCATCAACGAGCAGAAATTCTGCTTAGTCGCTGAATGCTGCTAAGGTAACTCATTGTTTGAAAATTCAGAACTTCAATTTAGCGCAACTCGAGTCATTCCGAAATCAGCAAAAGCGCTCCTTAGGCACGCGCCATACTTGATCCGCTCAATCCACATGATCCGCTTGATCTGCTTCATCATTGGTCAATTCAAAGAGTTGACCAATAGCAAAGTGGTTGTCCACTTGATCCGCGTGATCCGCTTCATCCACACAACTGGTCAGTTCGGTGAAATGACCAATGATGAAGCGGATCAAGCGGAGCGAAAAATGATGAAGCGGATCAAGCGGATCATGTGGATTAAGCGGATGAAGTATGGTGTGTGCCTTATACGCTAGTTGAAATTTGCTTAGTATTTTGAAGGATTTTGCTGAGAATGAATGAATTCTTGACAAAAATTTGGTGGCTACATTACTGGCTTTTTATTTACAACCCTTTTGAAATGTCAAGTTACCTTTCGCATCAAAAGGCGGTTTTGGCGGTTCCGACAGCCAAAAATAGCTCTACTTTAGATGCATTGTTAGGCCTCGAGCATACTTCTCGCTACAATCGCGATGCGATCTCGCAATATTCCAGTTGTTTATAAC